AGCAAAATTCATCCTGCCATATTAAACTACCACTGGTTTGCTGATTACATGGCATCTGAGTCTGAGTATCAAAAGAAAACAGCACCGCCCTCTGCGCATTTTACTTAGTTTTGGTCTATGTCATAAAAGCCCAGTGAAATACATTGAGGTTTGTCACTGTAACATGTCAGAATGTGAAAAAGTTCAAAGGTCATGCACAGTTTTGCAAAACACTGAAGGTATGTTATCATACTGCTGAGCTTCAAAGTTTTCCTGAGCGTCTTTAGAGCAGGTAGAGGAACAGGAACATTCACTACCAGAAAGTTTAAACCAGACTGGGACATGTACGGCAATAACAGACACAAAGCTCTGTGAATGTAAAATCTGTGTTTCTTGTTGTACAACAGGAGGACTTTGGTGACAGAAGCCAAGGTTTTACTTCCTCTGCTGTGCAGGAAGGGGCCTATCGGTCCATGTAGGAAGGATTTACAGCCAGCATTAGCATGTTTACGAGATGCCACCGTCCCTCGTGCAGAAAAAGAACAAGGCTCAGTCTTTTCATTACCACTCGACGAGAGCGGGGGTCGCAATGCAGCACCGAGACACAGCCGGCCGGTATTGACGTTCTGCATCATCTCCGATGGTACCCATGCCTCCTCAAATATCCTTCTGCGTCTATATCAGCAAAGAAGTACCTCTGCATGCTGAGTCATTGCTCCAACAAACGAGTTTAGCCCACACCTTATCTAACTTTGCCTTATAACCTTGGAAAATACATGAACGGGAGACTTAATGAGGGGCTGCGATGTTAAGTCGAGAAGATTCGAACCACATCCTCAACCACAAGCGACTAAAACCAGGTGACGCAATGTTTCCCTTTGTCTGAGGTATCCACACACATATCAGCACACACGAGAAGCTTAGACTGGAGCAGCATGAGGTCCATCCCCAGAGCAGCGCTCGGCGGATGGTTGCCAGGATACCGTTGGCCTGGCAATGCCGTCTGCTCGCCGCAGCCGAGGACGGAGGGAGAAACGGTGTGAAGCTTGCACAAACGGTCGCTGTTTACTGCCTGTAATGTGTGTCTTTAAAATGAAACTGCACCTCGCTCGTGGCAATCACGAGGCCACGGCATGTCGAGTTTCAGATAGAGGAAATTAGAAAAGCATCTCACAGACTCTTTGTCGTCTTACCCTCTTTTCCTCTTGGTGCTGCTCCTCTTCCTTGGCTTCTTCACCCCTAACTCTCTCTCCTCCTGTCTTACTTTCTCGTTGTGCCTTCTGAAAGATTCGCTGTGAGTAAATCCCCCAGTTCTTCCAGCTCAGAGTCCCCAGCGGCTCCGGTTTGCCACTCGCCGTCTCTCTGGAGACGGATGTAAACTCGTACTCGTGTCTCTCTTCCTCCCTCTGTTTGAGTGTGAAGTCCACTTCGCACTTCTCTTTTCGACGTCTATTTAAAGCCCTGTGGTTTTCTCTATTAGCTTCGACCCGGATGCTGCTCAGTTCTTCCTTTCGTTGTTCACTCCTTGTTCAGAGGGCGATGCTGTGCAGCGTTGAGGGTGTTGCCGCAGACCCGAGGCTCTGTTAATTTCTGCCTCTTTCTGACGCTTCTCTGTCGCCGCTCATGTTTCTGTTGCACTGAAAAGCTCATTTTCTCTTTTAGTTTCTGACACCAGAATGTGTTCCTCAAAAAATATTCCCTGCAGCTCTCCTTTCTGCCTCACTTCTCCATTTCACCACTGTGCAGCACTCTCCCAACTTCTTGGCCTTATTTTGTCACAGGACATCTCCGTCAGGGGGCCACTTGGTCTCGCTGGTGGCCCTTGGGTGCAAAGACGTCTAAGAAGGAGGCAGGAGGCAATAGGGGCCACACATTGCATAATAGTCATTAGATCACTGACTGTTGGAGCATTGAGGCACAACATTCCTGGAATCGGGAAGTGCCATCACCGGCTTCTGGTCGCAGTAGTTTCTCATACATGCAAACAGACACAACCTCTAGATAGCCAGAGTGAAAGTGGAGGAAAGAATCCCTCTTACGCAACCAGGGAGCAAAGTGGAGGAACCAAGCCGAGGGGCCTCCTCGAGTCTCAATGAAGACACATCTCTGCGACCACATGGGCATGAAAAGCAGACCTGGTTCAGACCGGGAGCCAAGCAGCTGAGCTAAGCCTTCCTGGCTCCTTTCAGCTCCCGCTGAAAGAATCCTCCTGTTACAGCTCAGCAGCTGAGCAAAGACACAGCACTCACTCTCTTTGCCAAGTCCAACTTCTATTAACTCACCAATTCAAGCTTCCTCTGTACCCTCTGAGAGTCTTTCTGGAAACCACAAACTGCCCTCGAGTGACGGGACGCTCACCGGCCTGTGGGTCAAACCCGCTCAGCAGCTGCGCCGAGTGAGCCGGCTCTCCAAAAAATAATGTGTTTTTGCTCACTGTCTTTTGTTTCCCTACCTTCTTTGCTTGTGTTTATCCCACTGGAACACTTCACTGCATCAACCAGGGCTTCTCAGCTCCCCACGCTGGTTACAGCATCAGCACCCGACACCTGGAGAAGACGGACAGAAAGGAAAGAGGATCATCATCAAACTCAACACAGCAAAATGGCTGGTGCTTGACCAAGCAGTAAGTGAAGAAAAATCTTTTTTTTCAGCTTTTGTGGCTGAAAAACATCAATACATCATTTGGAAATGTGAACCACAAATAAAAATTCAACTTTAGCAAAAATATTGGAATGGACTGTTAAGGCCTGCAACGTGAGGCTAAAACATCCAGTCTTCTGGTGTTGTGGGCTTACACAAGAAGCCTTCTTAAAGGAGCAACATTAAAGCTATACAGCTCATAAATGTAAGTGAGAAACATAAACTTGCTAACTCAGTTTCAAAGCTACTTGTTAAACCAATGCCTGGAAAGCTGAACGCACATGTCGCGCTTTCTTCTGTACTTTAAAGCTCATCAAATTAATCTCATTATTGTGCTTCTTACGCAGCCTGGGCCACGTCTGACCCGCTGACTGGTGTAACTATTAACACCGCTGCTGCCGCCCTTGCATCATCGAATCTCATCAGGAGAGAGTGCAGACTGGAGGAAGGTGGCATATTTGCAGAGTGGTTGCTAGGGAAACACAGCCTCTCATTCTCATGGCAACACACACACTCAGGCATGGCTCGGCGTTTTCAGCGCGGCGCCTCAGTTGGATAACGACGGTCCACACTGAGTTCACTGTTTCCTGGGTTTCCGGATTCATCCAGGAAACATTTTTTGCTCTTGTGGAACTTCCACATCCAGTGATTTACTTGGGGAGCCTGACCAAAACTGACCCAGGTCAAAGGGTCAATGGCTGCTGATCGCCCCTGTGCATAGGTCAAATCCACACCTGTGGACATAATGGAGGGGAATATCATCTGTTAAGGGAGATTTATCTGTACTATTGCTTTGTTAGGAGGAGGTATTTCAAGAAATATACAAAATCTCATTATCTTACAATATACTAAACCTGTCAGAGCTGTTGCCTTTTGTATTAAAGTATATCTAAATATGTGCAAGTTTCCAATTCTATCCTAAGCCCAGGGCTCTTATAGCGCTGATGGATTACTATTTTCAGTTCTCATAATTAGCTTAGCGCTTCCGTTCGCGGTTTGAGCTCCAAACCTTCTGTTTGCATTCTCAGCACTTTTTAAATTTAACCATGAGCTGTGCTTAATATCATCGCACTCCCGTTTCACACTCCAAGAGCAGAAAGGTGCAACTAGCTATCTGGAGCATATGGGTCAAACTCAAGGCCCGGGGGCCAAATCCGGCCCGTCATAGCTCTTAATGTGGCCCTCTAGAGTCCAAATAACAGCTGTGTGCTCAAATATTATTTTAACAAATCAAAGCAGTTTTGTACCTGTACACTGTCAGATTACATCAATCAGTTCCTTCTGTTTTGAATCAACAGATCCCCACATTTTCTCTGGAGTTTTCTGCAAAATAAGTCAAAAATGTTGGCTTTAAGTGATGTTAACTCCCACCTGCAGGGGGCAGTATGTCTCACTTCTACAACACTTTTGCCTCAGTCTTACTTTATGTCAAGTTATAGTCCGAGAACTATGTGGCGAGTAACAAAACAGTCACATTTACAGACAAGTGCGCAAATATTTCAAAATTCCCCACAAGCTTTTCTGAATTAGCCCAATAAAATCTGTTATTCTGATTGCAAAAAACATGAAATTCCAAAGGAACTAACCAGTGTTACAAGATGTTCAACATTATTCAAATTTAAGCAATTCAGGTCTATTTAAGCAATTCAGATCTAATCGACAAACACAGCAGGAGGGAGAAGAAATGGACCGGTTTCTAAACTAGCCATTTCAAACTTTTGTTAATAATGCCATTTATGAGCCCCAACTACATGAGCTACTTCCTCAGACAAATTAGCTTGACTTGACTTGAAAGTAGAAGCCATATTGGCGACTTGGGAAAACAAGTGTACTGTTCAGTTTTGTCTTATTTCAAGTCTACAAAGAAATTTGACCTAGAAACTAAACTAGACCAAAAATACTTCGTAATATTTGGCATTTCTGCAGTGCATCACATCATTCAGTATACCGTACTGTTTGTTTGAGCAGCATATCAAAAATGAAAACAATCTGTGTGTTACAGCCGCAGTTCATAAGGTTAGTGTGTATTTCTGAAGTAGGCTAAAGCCAATCAGTCTGATCCCCGGAAGACTTTGATATTGACACTGCACTTATGAGTGTCATCATGAATCAGTGTCCCGTTAATCAAATATTAGCCTGCTCTGCCTTCTCCAGAGAGCAGACACCATCAGAAGGGTCTGGAGAGCTTTACCCGTCCAGCAGCAGCAGCAGCATATCAGGCTCATCGTCAAAAGGAGGAGTACGTTTCCAACGAAAAGCTCAGAAATGTTTGGATTAATCTCTGGGCTTTTTCTAGAAAAAAAAAAAAATAGAAATGTCCGAGTTTCAAAAAGCAAAAATTTGGTACAAAAAACTCAGAAATGCTAAGATGAAACTGTAGAAAAAACAAGGAAATTTCAGAGTTTCGAAAGTTGGAAAATTGGAGAAATCTCCAAGTGTTCTAGAAAATTTTGGGGATTAATCTGAAAATTTCAGAGTTTTTTGGCAGAAATTTATTCCTTTTTTTGTCTCTTGTACGCTGTCGTAGCTTTCTCACAAACTCCTCACATAGAAAGTCTTGGTTGTACAACTTGCTGAAAAAGACGCTTCTTTGATCAGATAAAAAAAAAAAAAAGTCTGCGGGAAATGTTTTTTAATCCGATCTGTCTGACTTTTTCGCTCTCTCCAGCCTTAAAGTCTCCTCTTTGATGCATTCTGCTTGATCCACCTTTCTTCTCACACACCTGTTTGACTTGTTCTTTTGATCCTGTGCCTTTGTCAGCATATCTAAAGATAGCGTTGAGAGCAGGAGGCTGTGGTTGTGTCTCCGAAGAGAGAAGAATCAGACGGCCTGTTCGGCCTCACGTAAACAGTGCAAGTCTAATTTTTAGATAACAGGTCGATCAGGTTATTTAAGGACAGAAAGGAGAGAGAAAATGCAAAACAAACCCAGCATATGTGACAAAGAGTGAGTTTCTGGAATAAAGTGGGAGCTAACTCTGTCAAATGCACCTAGAACATCACTGCTAATGGATCCCTACAGCCAAATGGCCTCAGGCCAAAGATACACTTGATGCACTGAAAGGAAACTAAAAAGAAAAATCCTCAGGAAATGTTGGCGATGGCTGCCACTTATCCTGTAGCTCTGTGTGCCACCAAAATGCCTTTCCAATCTGATTTAGACCCAACGATAGACGCTTTCGTCTTTATAGCCTAAAAGGAATCTGGAACCTACAATTATGAGATTTGAGCTACAGAAATTTTACTTTTGGACAGTTGCTATGATACGTAGCTGTCGCAGTAAAGTATGTTCACATCGGGGAGCTGATTAGTATCTCAAAAGTTCAAGTGATACCTAAACTAGAAGCGAATGTTGTCATTCTCATCACTTTCTTTTTGTTGTTTTGTTTTCCATTACTAATTTTAAGGCATTTATTACTGCAGTATTTCTATGTTTTTATTCTGAAAATCCCAATTTGTAACCCAGTTGGTTTTGGGCCGATTAGGAATTTGAAACCCACTCTTGCAAAAAACAATATTCAAGACTTGTGGATTTGACCTTTTCCATAATCTGCTCTATTAAATATGGAGGCTTTTATTTTGAAGAGTACTCGTAAAAATCTAAACCTGGTACTCCAAATTGCTAACCCTGAGGAAAGGCAAATTAAAAATGACCTTTGTCGTACTTTCTTTAGCAATGTGGAACATCATTTTATTATAAACTCATTTATGAAACATGAGGCGTTAAATTTGCAAGAATATTCATAATTATGAAAATACTGTGAGATATTTATAAAAGCTACTCAAAGTACATCAACAAATAAAAGAGTGAGCCTCTCATTTTAGAAAGTATGAGGTTTATTAGAACAACTTTTATTTAGTTCTGTTGGTAACCTGGAACTTGCTTTTGCATTAATCGGACCTGTAAGCTTTTATTTTGAAGCAAGCCTAAACTTTCTTCTGAAAATCCAAAGCAGTAACTCTACATTTAGGCATTCCAAACCTTCTGCTATAACCATCACCAACATGATTTTATTTATTTATACGCTTTATTTTGAAAGGCACCAATAAATGTAACTGTCTCTCATTAAGGAAAAGAGAATATCAGAGATGGAAACTAAAAACCGAAGCCTATGATGCTCCTGCACAACCCCTCCCCCTTTATTCTCCCTTCCTCTGTGCCACACACACGCACGCACGCACACACACGCGTGCCCGGTCCAGAGCCATGCACGCATGGTGCGCCTCCTTAAAGGGCGTTTGCAAATGAGCATTGTGAGCCTGTGCTGTGAAGCTGACAAAGAAGAGCGGAGAGGATGCCTGGAGAGGCAGAGAGGGATATTATGGCATGTTTAAATGCAAAAACATTTTGATCTGTAGTCATTTTTCAATTAAACTACAAAAAAAAGCTAAATATATGGTAACCCTGCAGGCGCAGATCCCATCTTTAAATTGCTAACCCACATATTTGCAATTTTTGCTCATCAATTTTTGAGAAATTGTCTGTAAGGCAATTTTTGACAATTTTTGAGAAAATTAAGTTTATTACTTCCTAATCTTATTTTTTCCCCACCAAGACAGTATGTTTTATACTTAATGTAGCCATGAATATTAATATGAATACGGCGATAAGGCTTCTGGGCTTTTACAACAGTAGATAAGCAGAAGCATTTCAGACTTAATAGTATCTCCTATGTTTATTTGAGAAGTGGGATGGTGCTGCTCATTAGCGCCTGTCGAAGCAAGAACACACACCTGGCTCTTTCAGGGCTCTGATGATGCTGTATCTAGTCATTAAACACTGTTTCCCAGAAGCCCCGCTATCTGTAAACAAAGGCAGACGAGACGTACGTCTCCGCAGGCGAGCTGCTCTTTGTCCTTGGTTGGATGCTCACACGTTGTTTTCCTGCGGGTCGGGGGACGGCCGCATGCGTGACGGCTTTTACAGGCCGGGTCGCGTTAAATGGGGGGAAACAAAAGGACGTTTGAGTTGATTTGAAGGGACAAATTGTGTCTGATTTAACTCAGATTTAGGTCAAGTGTAATTTTACATTAATCATGGTTTGCGTATATGTGCATTAAGCTGGAAAGAGTTGTTTTTTTGATGATCAAGACAGTTTGATGGTTTTGTTATACATTTGTTATACAAATTTTTACATAAAATGTGTTTAATATTCATGAAAAAAATCCACATAATATACAAATATTAATTAGTACTGTTACAAAAATGTGTGTTATGATTTGTTTGTATTTCATAAACAGTCTACGGCAAAATATATGTAAAGTAGTTGATTCTAAATGAATATTGTTCCGAATATTATTATTTTTCTCGCATTCTCCTCTTAAAGGTCAGATCTCTGATTGATGCTGTTTGTAGAAGAGATGGGTGACACTCCTTTAGCTTCCAGGATTGTCTATTTTTCACGACCTGACCAGTCCTTCGTTGCCAATTACTTTTCCCCGTAAGCATCGGAAATGTGTGTCGACTTTCTTTCAGCCAGCTGACTGATTGTGTGCAGGTAAATGTACACAATGTGTGCAGGGGAAAACGTCAGTCATTTTCTCTGGATCTTAAAGTGCAGGAGCAGCGCTGAACTTTTTTGTTTTGTACCAAAGTTTTATAAAATTACAATTTTAAAACAGCAAAACCAACTTGGTTAAGTTTTATTCCTTTGTTTTTTAGTCAAAAATACAACAAGAACTCCCACTAAAGTCGGATGTCTGACTAAGAAAGTTGGACGTCAGTGAATAGCTTCAAAATCCAATATGGCTGCCCATATAAAACATTGTGATGTCATTCCCAGGTTTGATGGCAAATGAAAGGAGTAATAACTTCACTAAAAATCCACAGTGCAATGCCGGTGATTATCTTTTGATCCAAATATGTTGGATCTAAATATGTACAACTCAAAAGTCATCAGGAAGGAAGAATGGAACGAGGAAGTAAAATTGTACCGGGTGCACAGGCATCATTCTGTGGTGTGAAAAACACTGGCTGCTCCAACAAGGACAAAAAAGCCAAACCGCCATCATGAATGAACTAAAATCTAATCACAGGGAAAGAGAAGAGCGGACCCAATAAAGTGTGGAACTGGGTCCTATTGTGTTTAAATCCAAAGTCAGCGGCTCATGACCACAGAGGAGAAACGAATTGACCCCTGACCCCCTGTGCAACCGGCAGTCTATATTGAGCTCGGTGCACCGACGCCCGCTGGAGCGACTGGGCCCGTCCTTGACAGAGGCGATGCTCCATCACAGAGTGCTGCAGCGCATCTCACATGGCAGACGATGCAGCGCTACGCTCTTCCCCGCTCCGCTGGGAGGAGAAGAATAGCAGCAGCAGCACCTTCAAACGCCGGAAATTGGCTTCAACGCAAGGCAGAGCTGACGGGGCGGCGGGGCAGTGGGGGGTGGGATTGATGGAGCAGGAAGAGAGTGGACTAAAAATGGATGCGGTCAATCCCTGGTGTGAAAGCGTGAGATCTTGGCCGTTTTTCAGGTTTATTCCTGTCTAATGGGATATTTTCTATCCCTGTTGTGTGTGTGGCTTCTATTTTTGTTGTTGTTTTGATGACAAATAGCAGTGGGAGCTAACTAGATGAGAACCTATTGATTTGGGGGGTGGGAGGGGGGGACAAACATAAAAAAAAAACAGTGTTCGTATTGTCTCACAAGCCTGATCAAACATGAAATAAAACCGGGGCTGCCAGCATCCTGGTGTGTCCATGGTATGCTAGGATCTGGCATGAACACAGGAGCAAACACACAAACACTCCCTGCTGTTTTAACTTCATAGAGTTGAACCATTAAGGAAATGGGTTCCAAAGCCACTTTCTCACACACACACACACACACACACACACACACACACACACACACACACACACACACACACACACACTGACACTCACAGAGGTACTGATTTAAAAAAGCTGTAAGGAGAACTGATACCGCAGTACTATGCTACGCCTGTCATACTTTCTGTTCTGCCACTAATGAGCTTCCATAAGGTGACTGAAAACTTGTGCACGACTTACAATGATGAAAAGACTAAAACAGCTCATTTATGACATCAGATTTAATGACTCCAGGTAAAAGTCCATTTGACCAAACAAATATAGAACATGAATGCAGGGTTTCGGTTTCAGACTGCCGTAGTCTACTGTATAAAGACGAAAAATCTGGAAATCAGACAGCCTGTGTGGTTCTAAAATATGATTCTGCAAACCTGCGTCGGATGAGGAATAACGAGTATTTCTGCTGTGATGCAATCTTGAGATATTTCAGCTGTTGCTTACTGAACTATAAACCCAATTTGCTGCACTATAAATAGAAAATGACTGCAGATTTTTGCCTTAGTCAAGCAAAAAAGAAGAAATTTAATCTGATCTCAGATTTTACATCAACAATTTAAGGGACTTGAGTCGTTAACCGGTTCTTCGCCAGTCAGATTTGTCTCCATTTGGAGAACTTCGCTGTTTTCTGGATCCACATCAGGAGTGGTACTGGCCTGACCCAGTCAGGTATTGGGCGCAAGAGGCTTGATTGGCAGCAGACTGCATTCGTTGCCTGGCACGTGGATTTATGTCAACAGCAAGATCTCAACTACCATTTTCAATTGACAAGACTGAAGTAATTTTGAGATGGCAAGCTGCAAATCGGTACCTCCATGGTCAAACCTTGAGGTCCGAACCTTTTCATCAATTGTGGTGGAAGAATGCACACAGGGTCAACTGGACGGGGCTGGTCACCAGGTTTGTTTTTAGCTCAGGAGGGATTCTGGCCCACCGGACCTTACAGAAATCCTTCAGGGTTCTTTGCTGCATCTCTGCAACCCAAAGTGAAAATTCCTTCACAGATTTTCAGAAGCACAGAGGTCTTCTTCTTTAGCCTTTTTGTTGTCTTGGTGACATGTTTTGGGTGATCCTTGGCGTTCTGACGGAGGAAAGAAAGCTCCTGTTCTCTTGCAGAGTTTGCAGTAGATGCTACCGTGCATTAGCCCCAAAGCATGATAGTTCCAGTCATATTCATCAGCCTTTCCCTTCCTCCAAATCAAATGGGTCAAGCTAACGTCAGTGACCTCAGTCTCATCTGATCACAGAATTTTTCCTCAAGAATGTAAGGAAGGTCCAAGATTTAAATTCAGCAGAGCACGCTGCGCTAAAAGGTTCTTGGTGACAGTAGTCAGTACTGCTTTCAAACCTGATTCCTCATATTTCTGTTGATCATCCTCACAAAGACCACATCCTGCATGGATCTTCAGACTGAGGGCCATTGACTGTCATTTCACCTAGTTCCAAATAAACACACTTAGCATGTAGCAGATTGCAGACCCCTCCAGCCTCTGACAGAGGTACGATCCTGGCCCTGCGGTTCTTTGGCCACTTTTGGGTCGTACACATTTTAGTGGTTAGATTGGGAAAGAACATGAATCTATGGACAGGTGTGTTTGGTAGCTGATAGATTTATATGTCAAATGACTGCTTATCCAGTCTTGTGCGTCAGATTTTCTACTGCAGTGTAGAGGAACAAG